TCACCAAGGGGCATGCTGCAACTACTGAAGGAAGCCTTGCAGTTCTCAGTTTTCAGTTAACTGAGGACACACCAGGGAGGCATCAGCGGAGATACATGAAGAGTGCTTGGTAATTCACACTTAGGACTTGCAGCTGAGGATTCATAGGTGCAGGTTTTATATCCCGATTCTGATATTTCAAAAAAGGAAATACAATGCCAATAAACCTATGTTTTGTGAAGACAAATCCACCATTTTTTTAAAAAAAGATTTATATCATCTAAATTCATCTCTATTTAAACAGTTGCTCATAAATTGCTCTTTTCACTTGTTCAGGATTGAATGCATGTAGGTAAGGACTATCCACATAACTGCACAAAGATGTAATGTCCTGGGGTATTTGGAATGAAACCCTAATTTATTTCCTCATTATCCTTAGTTTTGCATGCTACCATCGTCTAATGGAACACAAGACAAGTTTGAAGATGAGCATATAAAATGTTATCTAATGGGAGAATTAAAGATTGACAGGATTCAGAAAAACACCATGAGTAATTTAAGAAGTACTGAGGTTGAAAGTTTGAGGATGTTACACCTCAGTGTAAGACAAAATCATAAATCACAAAATTACTTCATTTTGAACATGTAGCATAAATATTGATGTTTTGGTACATTCTACAAACACCCACTTAATAATGATTGGTCATAAGGACAGCTAATCTATAAGCAAATGTATTGTGCAATCTACAGTTATCATCAAGAGCCTTCTATGTATACCTGATGACTCCCGGGGAGGTGTGATGGGAGTAAACAAAGTTATCCTTAGTGCTTCCTCTGGTCTGTGGAACCCAGTGTCACAACAGACACACAAATAGATAGCGGAGGCAAATGTCAATGTGAACACTCCTGTGACGTATCCAGAAGGAGACAGAGTGTCTTCCCTTCTCATTCAAAGGGGGAGGGGGGATAAAATGAGAAAGAGATTGAGTCATCTAAATGCATCGGACCAATGAGAAGGTGGGCTTGACCTGAGTCTTGGTGGTAAACACTGGGCACAGCCATGGGAAGGGTCCAAACAACTGGGAAGAACACTGTGGTTAACTCTTTCCGTCTTTATTATCAACTACAATAATTTGTTGGTTGTATGTGAAATCAACCAGATCGCTGCAGACATTAACTACAGTGTAGGAAGAAAGCATTTAAATCATACACATACGTTTTTTTTTTTTGTTTTGTTTTGTTTTTTTTGCCAGCTAAATAGAGTTCCATGTTTACTGATGACCATCTACGGTCCCTCCTAAGTTGTAAAGTAAGGAACTATTAGAGAATCATGAAGTGTTTAAAAATAGCTTAGGCAAGTTCCAAATCAGAATAGATTTGGTGACTTTTTTTTGTAGTTTAAGTGGATGTTTATCTAGCAAAGCAAATATACTCCAGGAAAAACTGGAGCGGGTTGACAAGGAGGTGAAAAGCAGTTCACTGGGTTCTGGGTTTTGATTTTTTTTTTTTTTTTTGATTTGGTGACATCTTGATGCCCTTTGACTGTAAAACTAACCTAATGATTGATGTTTAGAACAATATTCTTGTTTTAAAAATATTTCTTTTTATTTTTTGTGTATGACTGTCTTGTCTGCCATGCATGTAAGTATACTGTTGGAACTCACTAGGTTTCCTAGTGGCTGTACCCAGCCGGAGTGCATGAGAGGTTGATTGGACCATGGGCCTGGGTATCAGGTGACTGTAACTAGCAAGGGGGAGGTCTTTTGCTCCACCCCTTGGCATTGTTATAAATAGCCCTTTGGAATAAAGTTCTGGGCTGGTGGATAAGGACCCAGGCCCACCTGAGTTCATCCTGGGTTTTCTCTCCTCTCTATTTCTAACTAAGTCTCTTATCCCTCAATCCTCAAGAGTTCCTGGGGTAAGTAAGTGTGGGGGCTGGTCCACCACAGTATACTATATGTGTACAGTGCCCCCAGAGGTCAGAATAGGGTACTGTATCTCTGGAACTGGAGCCACAGATGACGGGGGGATACAACATGGGAACAGAACTGAGGTTCTCATATTTGAGAACCTTCATGTTTCTCTCAATGTTTGAGTCACCTCTCCAGTCCCAGCACCATATCTAGAAGATGACTGTGTGTTACTCTACCAAAGATTCTAATGTCAAAGTTAATTTGTATTCTCAGAAATATATTTTGAAAACATTGTGAGCAAAATCATATGAAAATAAGCACTTGTATGAACTTTTAAAAAATAAAACAATCCAGACTGTATAATTTTCCACATACTCCCTTGAGAAAGGATGACATATTTTCCACAAACTAAAGTAAAAGCTGTATTTTAATTCAGGGCAACAGGAGACCTGGGATTCATTTTTGAGACGTGGAGCATGGAAATAATCAACTTTCATTTCCTCATAGTTAATAAGCTTGGTTATGGTGAGCACTTTGGTTATAATAACTTTGGATATTACATTCACCAGCATGTGGGAGAACTATTGTTCTCTTGCTGTCCCTTTTTCAGACATGACTTTCTAGACCAGCTAGCCTGGAGAGGTGAAATCATTTGTCCAAAGTCAACAGAGGCCAGAATTAAAACCAAGTTCATGCAAAGGCTCTGTGTTCTGTTAGTGTTAGGGCCCTTTTTAAAGAAAAATTTCTCCTTCTCCTTCAGTCTCATGCTTTCCTTGTTATGATATTACTTTTCTAAGAGTAGGACCCCTAGGCTTCTCCTAATCTTTTGAAAATGCATTTCAACAACATCAAAATGGAGGGATTTTTTTCCTTGTAAATATTTAAAATAATACGCATTTGCATTTATTAATAAGTACATTGATATGTTAAGCACCACATAGCATGGACTCTTTTGTCCATTTTAGCAGCTTGCAAGTGCATTAGTGTGAGTCTTTTCATTTTATATAGGCTGTGGTGGTTTGAAAGAAAATGGCCTCCAAAGGCCCATAGGAAGTGGCACTATTAGAAGGTGTGGCCTTGTTGGAGGAAGTGTGTCACTAGGGGGTGGGCTTTGAGGTCTCAGATGCTCAAGCCAGGCCTAGTGTGGCTCACTCCCCCCCGCCCCCACCTGCTGCCTGCTGATTTAGATGCAGAACTCTCAGCTCCTTCTCCAGCACCATGTCTGCCTGCATGCTGCCATGTCCCACCATGATGATGATGGACTGAACCTCTGAAACTGTAAGCCACCCCAACTAGATGTTTTCCTTTATAAGAGTTTCCATGGTCATGGCGTCTCTTCAAGGCAATAGAAACCCTAACTAAGACACAGAAGTGTTACCTCCACGACTCTAAGCTGCCTTGGTTCGCTGTGTCCATCACTGATGGCCTCTCTCAACTTCCTGTAGTCTCTTTACTCTGCTGATGGTCAGCTACTGGCTGACCTGAGAACTGCCTTCGGAACTCCTGTAATTTTGTCCAAGATCATTTTTCTCACATTTCCCTCAGCCTCCTGGGTTTAAGGAAGATGCTGGAGTTTCATCTCTTACTCTGACCTATGTGTTCAGCTTTGGGGTAAAAGTGGTTCACTCATAGCTCTTCTCGGATAATAATAAATATCTCTGATTTAACGTTCAAAACAGAATCCTTACTTTTCCTGAGAGTCATTCCTTCAACCCTGCTGATTTCATTAAAATGTCAACACGGTCTGAATAAACCCCAGCTAAGAAAAATGTATATCTTCAAAGCTTTTATTTTTAAAAGCAGGTCACTGAAACTGCCAAAACTTTTCATCTAAGTCATTAGCAATGTATCGATTCTAAGATGAGATATCGGTACCAAAATTGTACATGAGCATACATACTTCCTAAGAAATGGGTACGGGAAAAGTAGTTAACAGTCATCTTCCAGTGGCCAGGGAAAAGGTGCTTCATAATTATCCATCCGGGAAGTGTGTATTAAATGTACAGTGAGACCCCAGGGTGCAAACTCTGGAATGAATGGGATGAGCTAGACAGGTATACTGGGTGCTGGGTGAAGAAGGAATTCTCATATGCTTTAGGAAAGAAAATGTCTTACATCTAATTCTATCACAGATGAGCGCCTTTTGTTTTCTTTGTCTGCTAAATATAATCTACTTGGAGAAATAGAAAACTTATTGGTTTATATTCACCATGCATCTAGTGATGGGTTTATAAAGACACTGCCATTCAAGTATCTGTCATGAGCTTTGACTATAATCAGCCCATAGTCCCTCACAGGCCTCCCCTGGCCCATCTCTTCCTTTCCCTAGGTAGAACTGCTTCCACTTAAATACACACACACACACACACACACACACACACACACACACACACGCGCGCGCGCGCGCACAGACACAGAGACAGAGAGAGAGATAGAGAGAGAGAGGGAGACAGAGTTTTATCCAGCCATAAAGAAGATTAAAATTGTGTTGTTTGTAAGAAAATGGGTGTGTGTGTACATCAGGATAAGAAGAGCTGTACAGGAGACATGTTCTCTCTTTGTCTCATTCAGGCATTTTTGTCTCCTCTACAAGCGTAGAGAGTGGACCTTATTCCTACACACAGAGATTCATGGAGTTACCAGCATTTGCTCTGAGTTAAAATCATTAGGAATTTTTGAGGAGAAACTCGTCTGGCTTCTTTTTGCCATTTTACTCTCCAGACTTCTGGCTGCTAGGGCTATCTTGCAGTGACATGAAAAAATCAGAAAGCCAGAACTTCCAAGTTATGTGATTCTGGGAGGTAAAAATAGTTTACTTCTATTTTTTTTAAAAAAAATATATATATACAGAAGAGTATAATTTGTGTGGAAGAGCTGATTGCTAGGTCAAACACTGAGAGACTGAGACGTTAAACGGTGGACAAGAACTCTGCACAGCTGAAAAGCAGAAGTCACCTCTTCCTGAACGCGGAGTAAACGTGGACCCATGAAATCCTAGCTACTAGGAGAGGGCAGACCGTCACAGCTGACCCTAGGTGGCTTTTTAGGAATGGACAGCTGGCACGAAGTAGAGCTCAAGAGGTCACACCCTTGGGGCTTCACACATACCCATCACGGAGACATCGTATTCTATCAGGAGCGTCGCCTCTTGTCCACACTGCTTAAGAATGCTCATGGCCTCAGCATGGGTGGTTCCAAGAAGCCGAATTCCGTCCACACTGAGCAACCTGTCTCCAGGTTTGATGGTGCCCTCTCTAGGGAGAGAGTAAAGGAACAGTCTTGATTAATTGAGCATAATGGGGCTCCGTTTTAATAGCCACTTAGCCAGATTCATGCTTTCACGTGCATTCTGCCATCCAGCCCATTTGCATTCTTTTCAGGCATCGAGAATGACAGGGAGAGCGAAAAGAGGTAAGCCCGGACAGAAAATTGCTGTAATACGAAAAACCAGTAATGAGAAAATAACCACCTATTAGCAAATAACCTGGTCACCCACAGTTAACTCTCGGAGAACGAAAGTAAGAAAGGCACGTTTTCCCTCTTGCAGGCTTTCACTTGAAGTCGAAAATTGATTTACGGGAGCCCAGGAAATAGCATTCACCCATTTTCCCCCAAAGTCAAGTTGAACAGAGAAGCCTTCTAATTTCATCCCATTTATTAGCCGTGAACCCAAGTGGGACAGGGCGTGCTGGTGGGAATTCTCCTAGTCGGTAAATGTCCCTATTGAGTTAGGAAGCCATTTGGCAATCATTATGCCAATCCAGCCTCACCTGCCTGGGACGAGGCAGGCAAAGAACACTCTCCCTGCTGTGAACTCAGAGTTTTAAGGCACCTGGAGAGGATGAGAGGACATTAGTGGCACCATGGGTACAGAGTCAAAGTAGCCCCCTGATGGCTGTCTCTTCTTGGGGGAAGGGCGCGAGACGAGAAAGACAAAAAAGCAGCCTGACGAATGTGGGAGGCTATAAGTGATCTCTAACACAAACATCTTTCAGTTAGATGATTCTAAGCATATGACTAAAGTTTAGTACTTAGTGCCATGTTTCTTTGCATTCTAACTTTACTTGACGATAATTTGTAATTTGCTCCTGACATTCCTGTTAACCCTAACTGTTAAGATGGATGAGAAATGTGTATACATCTATTTTCTTTGGAAAGAGCAGTCCCCAAAGGAAGCATGGGAAAGGGAAAAGGTGAAATTCCCTGAGGCTTGTAGTTAGTGTGGTCCCCTGCAAAGGCAAACAGATGCTAGATGCTGGCACAGTGGAGAATCCAGTATCTCCACATTTCCTTATTTTATAGGAAATAGCATCTTCCTTAGAAGTGAGCTCACAGCATGAGTTCCGGAGGAAAACACACCTGAACATGTACCCTAGTCCGTTTTAATGTCTGTCTTAACTATCCTAAGTCTTTGTTTGGTCAGCTGTGAGAAAATGAAAAAAAAAATGCCTCATTTACAGGGTGATTGTAAGACTAAAATAATACAATATTCACCAAACAGGCAGCATACTTTCTGGAATATAGAAAGTGCTTCATAAATAGTATTTATGATAATGACTTCCTCCCCAAAAGGTTTAACAATCCATGTTGATTCTAAATGGAGAGACAGAAGCAATTAGTGTATCTGTTTCCCATCCTTTAACAGTATCTGTGGAAGGAGTTGTGTTCATCTGTTATTCTAGAGTTTGCTTTTGCCATCAGAAAACAACACAGACAGAGGCATCCCCAGAGACACCTAGATTGTGAGTTTACCTGGGACCCAGCGAGGCTTATGAGCAAACATCTAAGAACACTTTCTCTTCACATACTCAAATTCTCAAGGAAGGGAAATCGTTAGATTGACAAAATTTCTTCCGTCTGACTAAATGTCGTTCCCCTGTGATGTACAGGGTCATCACCACGAGGTGACGCTATGGTACGGGGATGCTGTTGATCCTAAGAGTCACGGCACTGATCCATCTTCCCAGATGGGAACACGGCAGTGCAGAAGGATGCAGGCCAACTCTGTGCCTTGGAGTGCTTCTAGTGAGTCAGGCCACCCAAAACACCTTTTGCTAAGCAAACAAACCTGAAAGGCTGCCAGTGTTGTCTACGTCTATGAGGGAGGGAGCTGAGCTCAGAACCAAGTACTGGCCAGAGAGAATGCACAGGAAAGGAAGAGTCTGGAGGCAAAACCTTACTTCCTCATAGCTCCAACTCTTGGCGCTTTCACATTCCCACACACATACTCGACATCGAGCTGTTGCAATTAATCATGTTCCCCTTCAGAGTCCCCGGCTGTCTTCAATCTAGTTTGGATAATGATAGAGAAAGATGGAGTTTACCTGTCAGCAGGCCCTCCGGGACGGACACAGGTTATCACAACCGGACGAGACTTATTTCTGTCATCGTGTGCTCCCCCTGGGAGAAAATATAAAAAATAATAAAAAAGAGGAAGACAACTTTAAAACGCTCTCATTATTGCCTTAAAAAAGAAAAAGGAAAAGGAAAAGAAAAATTCCTTACAAAGTGCCAGTGGAGATGTAGCAGTATATTTGTGGATATACGGAGGAGAAGGTGCAACTTGCCTTCCGGCATGTAAAACCTTTAAAGCGCTTATTCATTTTAGGCAGAATGTTTTGAAGTCGCTACCTCTCCACCTTTTAATAAATACAAGCAGTAATCAGAATGATAGAAGATACCTGACGACTGGAATGGCCTGGGGATTATTAATTAAAACTCCTGGTCCGATGAGAGCATCTCCCAGTCATAAGCAATGCACAGGTGTGCACACCTCATGCTGAGCAACATGGTCTATAGCACAGATGAGGAAGAAGGCCTTCAACCATATACTGAAGAAAAAACTCAAGAAAAGGGCCAAGTGGTTAAAGAAAGAAGGAAAAGTGTGGTGGCACACACTTATGATTCTAGCACTTGGGAAGCTGAGGCACGAGGAATCCTCATGAGTATGAAGTCAGCCTGGTCAATGGGCTGTGTAGTATGTTCTGGGATTGCCTGGGTTATAGACTATGATCCTGCCTAGAATACAACAAAGTGGCTTAAATGGCCCCTATCAAAAGTATAGTGTTTAAACTACCGGGGAAGACTTGCAATGGGAATTCAAATTTTGCACAAGAGAAATTTCTCTAGAGGCGTTTGTAGTTTACTAGAATGTAAAGCTTCAGATGGAAGATAATCCCTGGGAAGTTTTCTTTTTGACCCAGAACTAATTTGTACAATTTCCTTCATCTGTGCTCCCCAGCATGTGCTTGGGGCCACCAGTGATGGACCACTCACTAGGTCTGAGGCAGCTCACCCCACATCTGGACAGGAGAGAGTATACAACATTTTTTCCTAATGGTCAGCTGACATCTTTCATTTAATAGTCAGCTGACATCTTTCCAGTCATACATTGGCTGGAGTATTCTCTCTCTCTTTCTCTCTCTCTCTCTCTCTCTCTCTCTCTCTCTCTCTCTCTCTCCTGCAAACAAGTTTTCCCAAAGCTGAAAATGGTAGTTCTCCCCCTACTAGACTCCTCTATTTAATGCTTAGCATTTCCTACTTTTTATTCTTTCTGCGACCTGAGTTCCTTTCCTGTTGTCATCCTGGGAAATCACAGGAGCAGTCTCCAGTTTGCCAGTATCTGATAAATATGAAGGCCATCACCGGCTCTTCTGCAATGAGTGTGTCATGTAACAGACTGTTGTTTCCCAAGCTTTGCACAAGGGGAGGCAAATGAAAGGAATCCAGCTCAAGAGAAAGGTTAAGAAGCATCTGCTTTTGTAAGGTATTCCTAAGAGGTACATTTGCTCTTCTATGAGGGAACTGATTTGGAAAAGGGTGCATGCTGAAGCCAGCAAGAAACCTTCCCATAATTTTCTCAGATCCAAATTTAAATCCAAAACACGGAAGGCATGCTAATTGAGTTCTAAAATTCTCGATAGTTGACATTTTATCATTAATGAAATAATGCACTAAATAAGGCATTATTTAGGTTCTAGGAAGTTTGGACTTGTAACGCAAAACAGGCACCTCAGATGAGTGATGTTCACTGGTTATAATGAACACACATCAGCATCATCAGAGATGCTTTTAAAAAATGTTAGTGCCTGGGCTGGAATTGGAGCTCACGGCAGAGGAGCTGAGCATGCATGAGACCCCAGGTTCAATATTTAGCTCCAGAAAACAAAGCCAATGCCAGTACCACCATAGAGACCAAATGTGAATATCGTGCATGTGTATTAGACTGAGCAGGACTCTGTCCAGCTTTAACCATGGGAATGGCTAAATGTCCTTGGCCAGTGTACTGTGCCAGCTTGGCAACCCGGTGCTCTTTAAAAATAAATTTTGTTCTTTCAGTTGTTTCTAACATTTTAAATTATTTTAGTTTGTAGATGTATGTGGAGGTCAGAGGATAACTTGCAGGAGTCATTTCTTTCTTTCTACATGTGGGCTCCCAGGATCCAACTGAGGTCAGCAGGCTGGTTGGCAAGCATCTTTACCAGGTGAGCCATCTTGCTGACTCAGAGAATGTCCTTTGGTCCCAAGGATGAATTCTCTAAAGTTCACATGGAGGCATCACCCTTTGTTCTACAGGAAGACTATTCTCAGGAACCAAGGTTTTTTTTTTTCTTGTTAGAAACGAATTTCATCCCTCTGCTAACAAAGTTCACATTTTCATCAGAAGAGGTGAAGAATAAATTCTCTAGCATTGAATGGCAATGTTCTGTCTGCAGTGCCCACCTCCATCCTGACTTATCTACTTTATCTATTTATCTGACCCAAATTTAGCTAAAATTGCAGCTGTCAAAAATATTAGATGTGCTAATATTGTACCCATCACACTGTCTCATTCTGATTAGCCAATGACCCTTAGTGGGTGGGTTGTGGCTACCTATTGATCAGATAAGCTCTCTAGAGATGGGCTTCAAGATGATTTTTAAAATGTAAAATTATGTAAAACTGCAAATTTTTTTTTTAAAGATTTATTTATTTATTAATGTATACAGTGTTCTGCCTGCCTGCTGTAAGTCTGCAGGCCAGAAGAGGGTACCAGATCTCATTACGGATGGTTGTGAGCCATCATGTGGTTGCTGGGAATTGAACTCAGGACCTCTGGAAGAGCAGTCAGTGCTCTTAACCTCTGAGCCATCTCTCCAGCCCCCAAAAGGAAGGGTTTTTTTTTTTTGTTTTGTTTTTGTTGGGGTTTTTTTTTGTTTTGTTTTGTTTGTTTTTCGAGACAGGGTTTCTCTGTGTAGCTTTGCGCCTTTCCTGGAACTCACTTTGGAGACCAGGCTGGCCTCGAACTCACAGAGATCCACCTGGCTCTGCCTCCGGAGTGCTGGGATTAAAGGCGTGTGCCACCACCGCCCGGCGAACTGCAAATTTTTATGTTTAACCAGTGTATCAAGAAAAATTCTAAAGTCTGTACAAATGTGGCAGTCATCGGCTAAACCCGGTTCATTACTACAAAGACTTTAAAATCAGAAGAGCCCCTATAATCACACAAATTCAAGAAAAGAACACTGACTTCATGGGCCACTCATCCTTTCCTGTATGAAGTGCTACCCATATATCAGCTAGCATTTTAGCCTCTGGTCTATCTCCTGTGCAAGTACACACATAAACTTTTGAAATTCCCGAAAACTGTTTGAAGGATATTTTGGTAATATTACATGTGGAATTCAGTTGCATCTATCCATTTTATTTTGTAATGATAAATTGTTGTTGGCGCAGGTCTTTCATTAGCTATTTGACTTGTTATTTGTTAATCTTACAGTAACTAGGGATGAATGTGTATAGCAAAAGGAATCTTTGTTGCACTTATTCAATAATTAGGAATTTTTGCCCGTGTTTCAAAAGCATTTCCCTTATGGCTTTAAGGGAAGAAGATTTGCATACACCATCCTTCAGCCTAAATACCTTATTGGGAGAGTTTCTACTATATCTTGTCTATTTTTATAAAAAATTTAAGAATGGTTCTGATTAGTAACCAGGCCTTGGAACCTATCATAACTCTTAAGAAGAGGGTTTGGCCAGAAAAGTTTTATAACCAGAAAACCATCATAACCAGCAAGATAAGCCATATAATAAACTCCTAGTTTATCTTCTGTTTTACTCACTTAGTGGAAGTTGTCAGCTTGTGTCTTCAATTCATTGACATTAATGCCTTGAGGTAGGGTCATTGTCTTACGATGCCACAGCACTTATTGCTATGCTGACATGAAGGTATGTACTTAGTAAATGTTTCATTGAGGGATTGGTTTGCTCAATGGCTGGCCCAGAGTAGAATTAAACATCCAGAGCTCCACTTAAAGAAAAGCTTGTCCAAGTCAACATCACTGTTTTAGTGTTTAATGCATATAGATATGCTAAGATGCTTGTTAATATTAATTAATACTTTATCAATCATTTGGACAGAAGTCTTAGAAAGTACATTGTTATAGGAAACAACAGCAGGGAAAATCCCCCCACCCCCCAAATTGGTAGTGTTAAAATTTCCTGATGCATACGTAATTATTGAATCTCATTATCACACTATGGATTAAGAGCTGCTAATGTTGCAATAGTCTTTCAGGGGTGAAACCACTAATAAGAAAAACAAAGTCATAAAAACACGAGTCATAGTTCAGAATTAATGGAGTCACTTGAACTCTTCAGTATCAATGCCATCCCATAATGAGATAGGTTGAATTGATACACATGGGTACCCCAAGGATTAGATTATCTTTGGTCCATTTTTAGAAAGCTGCAATAATAAAATGTATTCCAAAAGAAAGTAATTTAAACCAAGTTGCCTTATCCTTAGGTATTAAATTAAGCCACACCTATCAATATTTTTGATTCAGTAATACAGACCAGATACAAGAACAAAGGAACACTGGAAAGCGCTACGTCAGTAGGATCAGAGGGAACTGGCCAGGTCTACGAAAAGTAGCTACTTGTTCTGTATTACTGGGCTAAAACCAAAGTTGATCATTTGGAATCTGTTGATTCTTTGTCACAGTCTTATTTGCTTAGTGGTATATTTTTAACTCATGGAAAGGTCAGCTTTTCAAGGTGCCTTCTAGTATCTCACCAAGAAGTTCTCTAGGAGTCTCGGAAGGCCCGTCGTTGGTAACCACCACCTACCTCGTATGACAAAACCGAAGGTGTTGCCTTCCTTGTGCAAAGTGACCTCCACTGTTCGGAACATAACACTCGGCCCTTGTACAGCTGCGTATGGGAACGAGATGGTAAAGCGTAAGTTTAAGGTTGTAATAACATTTCTATGATAACCTTTTCAATGTGACGTAATAGGCTTGCAAGTTCTGTGGCAAATAATTTATTTTGAATAAAAAAGTCATAGTACCAACAAAGTCTGAGAAAAAAGAATTGTAATGCCATACAGAGACTGTGAGTAGTTATCCATATAAATGACCCATGTTGTTCCATATAGAAACAAGGTCAGAGTTAGTTCCTTCCTTCTGTAGAGACAAATCCTAGACAGGGGGTGAGATTTATGTTGCTTAAACTCTCCATAGCAAGCAAGGCAATCTTCAATAAATAGAAACGTTTCCCTTTGTGAAAAACAAAAGCAATATGACTATTGCAAAGCTTAGGAAATAATTTCTGCAATCATTTTTCGTCTTGAAGCTGGAATATGAAGAAAACTCATTCCTCTTGGATTACAATCAATAGATTGTTGATGCAAATAGATGTTCTAACACGTGGACAGCTGTTTGAAGAAGATGCCAGCGGCCCAAATGAAACATGGAGAGCTAAAAAAAAAAATCCTAAGGACATTCAAACTGTGACGACAGAGATGTGCTTAAATTTGCCTGTTCTCACTGTGTTCTGTTCTTTGCCTCTTATTGCTTTCATTTCACCAAATGAAATTGCACCGCCAAGTTGCGGTCTCTAATTACATTATATCACACATGCGAGCATCCGTCATGTAAAGGCATAAGTCACTAAAATATTCTGTGAAACTGCCTTAGGAAAATAGTGGGTGATTCTGATTGTATAATATACTATTGCTACATGAAAAAAAAATTCCACAAATTAGTATTTTAACATGACGAGGGCAGGGATGATTTTGTTGGCGAACCAAGAAGAATTTGTGTACTGTGCAGAAGTAGTTGGCTTCTGATCCTTTATAACGTTGTACATGGGAAGCTGGGAATGGTGGAGCATGCTTGTAATCACAGCACTGGGGAGGTTGAGGCAGGAGAATTGCAAGTTCAAGGCTAGCCTGGGCTACAGAGTGATTTAAAGGACAGTCTGGGCTACATAGTGAGAACCTATGTCAAAAAACATATAATGACGTCTATAGCCATAGTTATTACCAATAACACATTTTATACTGTTACTAGATCTTAGTATGTTTCTTACATAAAGCTACTAATACTAAACCTATGACTTATGATGCTTGAGTTACAACATGTTGGCTTTACTGTGGTGTGAAATGCACTCACAGTATAACTTTATTCTCACTCTCTGTGCAGTATTCAACAAACAACATGAGCTATTTGGCACTTAATTATAAAATCAGCCTGCGCTAATGCTTTTACTGAAAACTAGGCACATTTAAGTGGCATGAGCACATTTCATGTGGGTCAGGCTGAGATGTTCGGTCAGTTAGGCTTGCTAAAAGTATTGTTACTTCACAATGGTTTCAACTCTAGATGGGTTTCTCAAGACATAACTCCATCCAAAGTCAAGGAGCATCTGCACATAGTTTTAAAGAACCACTAAAAATCAACCTCATCTCACCATTTGTACAACTAGCTAGTGGTTTCAATTAAGCATTAATTGTAGTTATTTTTAACAATCGGAAGCACTAAACCCTCAAAGGGATCCTGTAGGAACAGTAATAAAAAGGTATGCATTTAAACTCATAGAATCAGGCTGGTACAGCTGATCTGCCAACTACCAGGCTGGGCATAAAGTAGGGGGGAAACCTGGATATGCTGACAAGCAGCACAAATGCAAAGCTAAACAAAGGTTTTGCTATATGGCTGATTTAAGTGAATGCCATCTCCTTGCTATCAGGAGAATTTCAGTTTATTCTAATCAACTAGCAACAGTACATACAAACAGATGAAAAAATTGAGGAGTAGTTTTAATTAAATGAGGAACAAAATTGGACTTGAACTAAAGGACTTCTTATCTCTATGACCCAACAAGCCACTTGAAGATACTAGTTTTGAACACGATATTTTCATTTTATGGGTGTGAGGAAGGCAAAGACGTGGTGAGAAATACCTGATGAGCATCTACTGTGTGCCCAGAACTCAGCAAAAAATGGTTTTGCAAATATTATTTCATTTAATCATTAAATCATCTCTCAATTATGCACAACCAAATCCCAGCTCTGGGCCACCTGTGCTTGCTGGCTGGATGTCTGTTCTGGGAATGTGAAGTACTGGAATTTTCATTTTGTTTTTGCTTTCTGTAGCTGACCACAAAATCCTTATAGTCGAATTCAGTCTGTATGAAGACTTTGGGATCACTCACAGCTTCAGATCATTCACACCCCACTTTACACCATTTACAATGATGGAAATGATGTTATCGTTGGCAACGTTTTAATATAATTAACAAAACATATTGGAGCTTTATAGTTTTTATTCACACTGCTGGCCCTTGTCGATTTAATTTTCACACCCAGTATCAGTTTCCTTGTGTTGACCATGTAACTGTTACTCATTATTCTGCAGAGATGGTAATGAAGAGGCTTAGCCAAAGGGTTAAAGGGCTAGGTAAAAGGTCTCCTCAGTATTTTAGTTGTACTGTGGCTCCATGTTTCTATTTGTGAATATGCATGAGTTTCCGGAAAGCTGTTTAACTAAGGTTGATGAGATTTCTCCAAGTGAAACACCCCATTCCTCCTCCATCCTCACCACCTTGACAGAAGAACATTGTGTTGCCTTGTGCATGTGTCTTGCTTTGCCCCTGTGAGGCTATGGGATACTAGCAGAGGCTAGAAATGTGCCCAAATGGGCTGGCCTGTCTTCTTTTCCTGGGCCACAGGGAGAGCTCTATAGAGCAGTGCTCCTATAGACTCAACTCCAGAGTGAACTACGTGGAGGGAATCTTTCAATATCCTTCCGTCTTCGCTACTCCCACCGTGATGAGCACAGGGTCAGAACAGAGATGGCCACACAGTGATATCATTCACATATCTATTGGAGTGGAGAAAGGATTCCTTCTGTTAGACAGCTGGTCTCACTCAGCTGGTGATTTAACAGGAGCTAAAAAGACCTGGCAGATTTCTCTTTTTAATTATTAAGCAGGGAAACTCTGTCGCTCCAAGGTTTAAATGGAAACACTATTTAAGTAAATAGAATGTCCCCAAATCACATTCTTTCTCATTATTTAAGCTGATGATAAAATGTTAAGTGTCAACTGAAAATGGCTGAGAATTACTTAGCATTTCAAAATTCCATTGGGGTTATGTGAACCGAGAGCGGGGAAGGCACTTTTTGGATCAATGTTTCATGCATAAATACCTAGGATACACTTTGCTCATATTCTCCCCAAGTAGTTCTGAAAGCAGTACATAATTTTCAAGTTAAAATGAAGTATGGAACACAGAGAGGCCAAGTACTTCCTTTCCATAGAGAAACTGAATCTTGGGAAAGATAAATGGATTGCCCAAGGTCAGACTTTATTATTACCTTTTTTAATCTCTCAGATCACAGACAGACATACCCAGCTTTCTCTGAGCCCTTGAGTTGGTGGAGGCTCAGAGCACTGTGAACTGGGTGTGTGGTTCTCGGTGTGGGGGGACAGAGAGACCCTAGCTTGGGTGGGCTTCGGGTAGATGCAATGGCCTGTTTAGTTTTAGTGTTCCGAGCTAAGGACAGGAGAGGCTTGTTAATGCCTTCAACCTTGCTGAACTCCTAGGCATTATTAATTTCCCAAACATAAGAAAAATAGATAGAGATTATCCTTGGAGGATAGGCCTCTTCCATCTGAATTCTATCAAGAAAAAGACTTTGGCATTTAAAAGTATATTTTTCTCTCTTCCTGTCAGCTTTATTGCATGGGGAAGACAAACCTATTTAAGTACCAAGCCTCAGCAGATTTAACTCCTAAACATGTTGGATACCAATTTTCTCCTCTTTAACTCTGTAGATGCTGTATAGCTCAAGGGTATCTTCTCTCTTGGAAAACAGTAAGAGCACCCAGCGAATAGGTCTGAGGATCTATTTGGATCTATTTTCCGTTTAGTTTCTCAAATGCTACTGGAAACACACCAGTCTGACAATATAGTTTTAAAAGCCCTTGAGGATCTGTTGACACCCACATCTTCCGTGGAACCTCATCATTTGATTCCCGTTGCCTCACTGGCTGCCTTCCTATCCTGGAATCTTTGCCTTTCCTTTGTGATCTGACAGTCCCATCCTGTCCAGCCTGAGCAGCCCACTGTATCTTCTTATTCCCTTGCTGGACCCTCTGCTCAGAGTGGTCCTCTTCCCATTCAGTCTGTACCATCCCTTCCCATTCTCCCCAAGTCCATAGCTCTGAATCATCCATGATACTAGACAAATCCCCGCTCTGGGTCTGACCCTCTAAACTATACGGAATTCCTTTAGGAATAGAATGTGTTGTACTGATACACACACCCAGTGGAAGGCAAGTGTATAAATGAGAGCCACGTCTCTATAGAGCTGGTTTTCTTAACTCCTGGAAATGCTTTGAGATAATGATTTAAAGGTAAATTGACTTTCAGAAAGTTAAAGAAACCATGGTGCCCTTATAATGGTCACAGTCATAATGGCTAATATTTGCCAAGAATGTAACAATGGCCTAAGTATGTGATCACACTGCTGAATCCCTACAGAGCACACCCAGCAGTGACTGTAGCCATTGACAAGTGGCCATCCCATGGCTCAGAGAACTTAACATAGCCTGAGAGCTTTAATCGGGTCCCTGAATCCCAAATACCCTCTGTATCACCCTCAATCTCAATTTACATTGAAATCGCTTGCCCACATTGCTGGCTTTTTCCTTGGTATTTCTGCGTGTACATGACAAACGCACACCTCAAATGTAGCATTCAGCCTCCCTGCAATCATGTCCAGCCCCATTAATGGTGACTGTATCATTCCAGTTGCTCAGGCTCAAAACCTTGGCGTGACCCCGACTCTATTTTTTCATAGCCTGCCTCACATCCATTAGGAAACCCCATTGGCTCCTCATTCAAACCATACAGAATCTGACTGTTCCCCACCTTCACTGATCCCACTTCTCATGTCGATCACTGCAGTATTCTCCCAATGTGTCTCCCTACCTTTATCTCCTGCCATGGCTTCTGACTACAGCCCAGCCACCAGAAAGCCTCTGGAACTGTGAGATCGTGTTTTGCCTCTGTCTGAGGCCAGGCTTCCCGAATCATTCAGAGCATAGTGAAAGATCATCCCAAGGGCCCACGAGATCACACCACCTCACATTTCTGATCTTATCTCTCAATTCTCTTCCTGTTCATTCCACTCTTGCCACACTGGCCTCAATGCTTCTAGAACAATACACAGGTATTGTCTTGTCTTCTGCTCTTATCGCTGACTGTCTCTTTCCCCTTGGAGCTTTTTCTTTAGAAATTCATACAGCTGTTTCCCTCACTGCCTTCAAGTTCTGGACCTGTGTCACCTCGACTTCTGTTCCCAACACCCCTTATTTAACTCTGTGGTCCAGTCCCCATCCTACCAGTTACTTCTGATTTATTTCCCTCATATTTGCCCTGGCCCTTAGAATGGAACATGGTGATCATGGCTTTTGCTAAATACTGCCTTACCCTCGTAGAATGCAATCTCCATGGCTGTCCCCCACATTCCCAGAATATGTAGTCGCGGCTGGAGCACAGTAAAGACTCATCCGCTCATGGCTGAATATGGATTATCATCAACTATTCATAATAATCTAAGTCCTCACGGGTAAGAAAGAGCAAAGAGCTGTCCAGGGTCACATCCCTGGTGACAGCTCCTCAGAGGAGATGAGACACCAGAAGAACATAGCTTCAGCACAGGCAGCCATAACACACAGCAGAAGCCATGCCTCATGAACATGAGCAAGAGGCCTCTGGAGGCAGACAGTCTGGGTTCAAATACTCACTTGAGTATTTGACACCTTATCTGACACCTTCAAAGGATGGAAAGAAGGATGACACATGCCTGTCTTTTAGTTTCAACTGGTTGATCCATTATTTATTAAAAACTTGTAGAGTGCCAGGCAATGTTCTAAGTGCTTTACAAATGCTAACTCAAGTCACTTGATCTCCATTTTGCAGATGGGGAAACTGAGGCATAAAGCTTAAGCAACCTTCTCAAAGACATGTAGCAAGTAAAAGTGAAGCCAGATTTCATAAGCTCTCGAAATCTGTCTGCTGCACTTATTACCATTATCACTACTTAAAAATAATTAGATATGATATCATCTTTTATGGGTTTTTTTTTTTTGTGTGTGTGTGTGAGCTTATCCACTGAAGAGTCAATATAAAGCATGTAAACATGCTTTTCCTAAATCTAAGCATAGTATTTGGATGGATTTTAAAAATATTACGTTAACTGTTTATTAAAATAGCTTAAGTGGTATCCACGTCCATAGATCACTTTAATGGATGGCCAAGAGAAAAAGAGGAGGCAGCCGGGGTGGGAAGCCATGGCAGGCAGCCGTCCGGGGGCGGGGTAGGGTGGGGTGGGGTGGGGTGTTGTTTTTACTTACAGACTGGTGGGAGCTCATACTCCACCTCCAGGACCACTCTTTCCCCGACATTTTTCAGCAAGCTGATGATCTCGTCGTGGCGGAATTTGGCCAGGTTGATTCCGTTCACGGCTTTGATGTAGTCGCCCACATCCAGCTGGTCACTTCTGCAAAAGCAATGTCACTGTGGTGGGCACATCCTTCCCACAGGCCACTCTCTAACTTTTTTGACTTTCCCTCATCTAACTTAACAGGTCAACATAATAAACACCCCGCTCCCTAGGCCGTGACTGGACCCTAAAAGAAGGAGCTTGGCTGAGAATGGGTGGGATGTGGGGGGGCTACCCTACTCGCCCCATTGGGACTTCCGCCTTGGGTGTGTCTCTGATCGTTCCTCAAACCTTTTACCTCTTTTATTTCTAAAACATCAGAAAACAAAACCTTAAAAACATTAGTTGCCCAAACAGTTCGAACCAGGGACCCTGATTTGGGGGATGTGGGGCTATGGGGTGGCTTGGGAGGGAGGGCTAGGAGATGGGAGGAGGGAGGAGGGAGGATCTGTGGGTGGTATGTAGAGTGAGCAGAAAATTTCTTAATAAAGAAAAAAACATCAGTGACTTGTCCCCTAGCACTGCTTCTCTAGGGATGGACCCTGACTCTAGATACTGCAAATCTTTCCTTCTTCTTCCCTCTTAATATTGTTGCCTGCCTTTTGGACATTTCAGGGCTTTTAATGTCTTATTGGGAGTGGGACCAGAGTCAGAGCCAAGGAAATAGTCAGCATATTTTGTTTCTTATTGCTTGCTTTAAAAAACAAAACAAAACAAAACAAAACAAAAAAACCTGTTGTCTATTCCTAATCAGCACTGGTTAAAAAAATATTGAGCCGGGCGTTGGTGGCGCACGCCTTTAATCCCAGCACTCGGGAGCCAGGCAGATCTCTGTGAGTTCGAGGCCAGCCTGGGCTACCAAGTGAGCTCCAGGAAAGGCACAAAGCTAAACAGAGAAACCCTGTCTCAGAAAAACCAAAAAAAAAAAAAAAAAAAAAATATTGAGGAAGAAGAAATGACAGAGAAAGACTTGAATTGCAGCATCAATCCCACCTTCCCTCACGGCCACAGAACCCCTGCTGCTCTGGGCTTTATCTACCAGACAGATTTTGAAACTAAGAACAGGCAGCGAGACCAATGGCGGGAGCCAATGTGTATGTCACTGGACACACGGACAAAGCAAGCTTCCTGTTCTGTTTCCTCTAGGAAACCTCTTATGTCCTGGTGAGAAAGAAAAGCCTCCTTGGTGGAAAAGTAAACACTTTCCCCGGAGACCTGGAGTTCGGCCTGAGTCTCTTCCTCTCTAGACATTTCACATCTTACGGGTCATCGGCTCCACATTTAGTAGATCCGAGTGTCACTTTCCTGCTGCAAACCATTTGCCATCCAGAGGCACAGTCAGACCTTAAGCAGTCCTGTCAAAATAAACCTGCAGGAGCTGGGCTGCTCCTAAGGAGTCACCAAAGTCCCCAGTGGCTTCAGCGCAGCCCAGCCAAGCCGCTGGCAGAGCCGGGGAGTGGATTCTGAAGCATGCCCGCTGTGCTTCTGCGGGGAGGCGCTGCCTGGCAGACAGCAGCTGTCATTTATCTATCAGTGACCTTTTCTGATAAACTCTAATTTTTTGAATTAATTATACCCTTGTTCCTTTTTCCCCGTGACGCCGTGAGGCAGTTACCTGGCAGCAATTCCTCCCTGCCGCAGGTTGGACACTCTTGGCCTGCCATCCTTGTCGATTCCTCCTGATACCGTCAACCCGAGCGTGGTGCCCTCCTTCTTCATCAGCTCCACCACAGTGGAGCCCTTGAACTCTTCTGTAAAAGACAAGCGTTCAGCCTGTTAAAGGAGAAGAGAACCAGGGATGCCATGCCGGCTGCACGGTTCAGTGGCCCGACCCCTGCATTTCCCCTTTTTCATGGTAACTGCAGTGTCACAAGATGTTGGGGGCACAGATGGCACTGAGAAAGGCATTTCAGGAGAAGTGGTTGACCCGGCACCAGTGGGCTGGTCCACTCTGGTTCCACAATAAGTAATATCAATCCTCTTAGGTACCAATGAAAGTGTTCTCCCCACACTTTCTCCATTCACTAGAGACTTTGTTTTCTATTGTTATAATTCAAACTACAACACAAGTTTATCAGGCTAGAATTTTAAATCATCATACAAATGCATTAAACATGGCGGCCAACTCGCTGCTTATCAGACATCTCAGATTAGAAAGCCAACTACCTGAAGAGTGTTCTCTACAGGTTGGAGAAATATTATCAACACTATTTCGTCTTTAAAAATCAAGGTACCATGGTTCAAGTGGCAGTGTCTATCATTTCATGAAGATTATGTTAATGTTGCTCCTCAGGATTTGGGGATAACTGCCATAAAACTTCCACTATTGAGGGAATGCAATTTCTAAAGCTCACAGATTTTGTGGGAATAACATCTACACGCTGATCAGGAAATCAAATCTTTTGATTTTAGCCAAGGTAGAAGGTAAGATAACTTTAAGAATATACTTCTTTTCAGTTGAGATGTAATGCATGAGTGAAGAATCTATTTTCAAACAGAGAGAGAGAGAGAGAGAGAGAGAGAGAGAGAGAGAGAGAGAGAGAGAGAGAGGTCAACATTTACTATATGGAGGCTAACTATGATAAACTCTGAGTCAGAGGTTCCCACCATGTTATTTTCTTCTGTTACACGGGTACTTTCTGGATGTGGATGGGGAACTATATGGTTTCCTAATTTGTGTTCAATCAGGTTAGAAATTTTAGGGGTCACGCACATCTAGAACACCAAACATACATTAAAATGTAAGAACAGCCTTTTTTAAAAAAGATTATTTGTATTCTTTCCCCCTTAATTATGCATAATAATTATAATTTCAAAAATCTCTGACTGTTTATCATACAAGTATCTAAACTCTTGCTGGTATATTATTCCACCAATATATGAAAAAAAATGTTAAGGGAAGAAATAGTATCTCATGAGGTCTAGTGTACAGACAGACTCCTGATGAAAGAATACAAGAGGTACAAGGGTGCTGATTTCCTCTGTGACATAGAGAATTTCATCCCAGTCATTGCTTGGCCCTATGACTGTAATGCCCCAGCATGTCACTCGGGAAGTCATCTTTTCTATGGCAGCCTCAGGAGGCTGTGTTGTACATTGTTCTTTAAAGCAGAGTCCAGGGGAGAAGCTGTGAGTCTATACTGATGTTGACGTCATCCATAACATTCCATGTGAAAGATCAGCTAAAGACCAAAATGTGGGCTCCGTGGGCCCTGGCGGCCCCCC